TGAGTGTCGGGAGGACGTTGCGCTCGGCCTTCTCGAGGCCTGCGCGCATAGAGTTGACGATCTTGTGGGATGGAGCGGCGTATCGTACCGTCGAGGATCAGAAGGCGGCCGTGCATGGCAGCGCGGACAGGCGCTTGGTCTGAGAAGATGGCGGCGCCGCCCGAGATCTCTCGACGCTACCCGCCGACATGAGCCTGCATTGTATTGGGTGGTGGAGGCTAGCACCTGCTTGAGGTCGGACTCGGTCGTGTCCTGCGAAATGGCTACGTACTCGACTTCGCGCTGCAAGAGCTCTGCAAACTGCAAGGCGAGGTGGCGGCGCGCCGGCCCGGGCGGGCTACATCATCATCATCGCATGAGCCCAGAGAACGCGGCGGCGACGGACCCGATAAGGAACATATCTTGCTGGAGCACGTCTTTCTGCAGCATCCACCGAAGATGCTGTAGCGACTCCTGGAAGCGCCATGAGTTGACGCTGCGACGAGAAGGACTGTACGACCTGCGACAACGTGGTGGGCACAAAGCCTCGGGGCACCAAGTGCGGCTCCTAATCGAGGCGACGGTGGTTGATGGTCGTCCTGCAGGTCGTAGGTAGATGCGTACGCTGGGCGTGGCCTTGGGCACCGAGATGCCACCAATCTGCACGGTACTCATCGCTGCCTTCTGCAGCTGGACGACGCGCCAATGGCTCGACCGGCGACCGACCTGTTGGCGGAGCATGCTGCTGCTGCTTCGATCGAATTCGAGACTCGGTTGACGTAATCAGGTGGTTTTGATATGGCTAATTCCACGCCACTTGTTGCTACAACCCTACCCGCGATGCAAAACGAGGGAGTACACAAGTTAAAGGACGTTAAAGTGAAGCTAGTCGTTGTTTGACGCGTCCGAGTCGCGCGCCCGCAGGTGGTTGACGAGCATCGTGGCTTGGACCTACTTTAGACGATCGTGAGACATCAAAATGTTTCGATGATCGAGCTACCGCGGCCTTGAACTTGCGGCGGGACTTGTTGAAATCCGGGAGCTTCTCCATGACGCTGACCAGGTTACGCGCCGAGACGTGTTGGCCAACGATCCACGGGTCTTGAAGCAGGTCGAGCGCTGTGGGCCGCACCTTGGGATCGAGCTCGAGCGCGCGCGAGACAAAGTCCTTGGCGTCCTGCGACACCTCGCTCCAGTCCGGGTCGTAAAAGTAGAAGCGACCGTTGACGATGTTGTCAAACAAAATGTTCTGGTTCGGGTCGTGGAACGGCGTGTAGCCCGCCAGCAGCACGTACGTGATGACGCCAATCGACCAAATGTCGACCGACTTGCCGTACGTGGCGTCCGGTCGCGAGATGATCTCGGGCGCGACGTACTCGGGCGACCCGCACGTCGTCGAGAGGCCGTTCGTGTCCTGCTTGGCGAAGCCAAAGTCGGCGATCTTGATGGCCGAGTTGTCGGCCTTGGACGTCATGAGGATGTTCTCGGGCTTGAGGTCGCGATGGACGACGCCGACGCTGTGGCAGTACGCGATCGCTTCGAGGAGCGTCTTGACCAAGTCGCGCGCCTCCTTCTCCGAGTAGTACTCCTACATGGCGGCGTTCGTTGCATACGAGACGTGATGCAGGCGTCTTACCATGAGCGCGATCCGCTCAAAGAGCTCGCCGCCCTCGACGTACTCGGTCACGAGGTAGTAGTACTTGGGCTCCGAGTAAAAGTCCACGAGGCGAAGCACGTTGCGGTGGTTGAGCTTGCGCAGAATCCGGACTTCGGAGAGGATATCCGCGTCGTCCTGCGCCGAGAGCGTCTCCTTCTTGAAGATCTTGACGGCGCAGAGCTTTCCCGGTCGCCTGCGACCGCGCCTTCTTGACGATCGCGTGCTGCCTTCGCCGAGCACGCTGCCGAGCGTGTAGTGCTCGCGGAAGAAGACGGGCGACGGTCGTCGTTCGAGTCATCCATGCGCTCGACCTCCG